TACCCAGAACCCATAGTCCTTCTGCCTCAGCTTCCTGAGTGCTGGGATTATAGATGTGGGGGATGCTTTTAGAAAAGTATTTATTTATTTGTTTGTTTCTATGTTATGTCTATGAGTGTGTTGCCTGCATGTATAAAATGTACCACACATGTACAGCCCGTGAAGTCAGGAGAGGGCATCATATCGCGGAACTGGAGTTGCAGATGGCTGTGGGCTGTCCTGTGGGTGCTGGGAACCAAACCCTGCCCTCTACAGGGGCAGCCAGTGCTCTTAGCCACAGAGCCACTCTCCATCTCTCGCTTGAGGAGATATATGGGCACATGTGTCTGTTGTCATGTGTGTGAGTGCACCTGTATGGGGGAACCTGTGTGTTGGTGTGTTGGAGGCCGGGGTTTGGCATCTGGCTCATTTCCACCTTCTGTCTTGAAGCATGGTCTCTCCCTGACTTGACTATCTAGCCAGCTTGCTCAGGGGATCCAATCTCTTCCTCCTGTGTGCTGGGATTCTGGATAGGGCAACATGTAGGGCACTGGGGATTGGAACTCCCTTTCTGCAAGATTGACCTCACTGAACCATTTCCCCAGCTTGAGGTTTTTGCTCAGGACACTGCCTTTGGCAGTCTCCTGGGCAGAGCCTTCAAAGCTTTGTCTGGTGCAGTTTCTCTCAGTGACCAGCAGAGGGCAGAGCTGGTTGACTTTTAGCCTGGGCATTCTTGTCTCGTAACTCTGTGGCTGACCCCGGAGTTTAGGCCAAAGGCATGGCTTGAGGAATTCTTTTTAAGTATCTGAAGTTTTCGTTCCAATCTTTTTTCACATCGAGGATGAAGAGAAATCAGTGGGGTCCTGTGTGTGTGTGTGTGTGTGTGTGTGTGTGTGTGTGTCTGTGTGTGTGTCTCTGTTGTGTGTCTGTGTGTGTCTCTGTTGTGTGTCTGTGTGTGTATGTGTGTGTCTCTGTTGTGTGTCTCTGTGTGTGTGTATGTGTGTGTCTCTGTTGTGTGTCTGTGTGTGTGTATTGTCCTTTGAACTAAGTGGAACTGAAACTGGAGTGGCCTCAGGTCACATGGAGCTGGATCCGTGATTGTGTGATGTCAGGGCTTGTGTGACCAGGCACCCTACATGCATTCCTTCCCTTGTCTGGCTAACAGCATTATTCCCTGGGCCCTAACCACATGCCAGGCACTGGCAGGCAAACAAGTTTCACAGAAATTCTTGAGTAGCTGACATTACTTCCCCACGCTGAGAGGGTGGCGTTCACCATCATCTCCCTATGATGCCAAGATGCTTAGTTCCTGGGAACGAGGATCTGATGGGCACTTGTGTGAAGGAGATAAAGACCCAAGTGCTGGGCTGGGGGAAGGGGCAGGGTTTATGGCTCACAGCTGGATCAATGAAGTGGGTTTAGCTAGCTCTCACAGGAACAGGCTCTGTAGGGGAGCAGCCTTCAGGTTGCAAATGTGGAGGGTTGGGGGTGAGGAGGGCCAGGGTGGACATTTTCTGCTTATACTGTCCACACCTCCACTTGGATGAGAGGAAGGTGTTGCCTGTCCTCCATGGTTTTGAGGTTCTGGAGTCCCAGCCATGGCTGCACCCATGTCAACAGCACTCATTCACCTCACCTGGGGCCTGGGAACTTCAGCTGTCCCCTCCTTGCACCTCACAGCACAGCTGTGCCTGATGTCTGCAAGAGAACTGCCCTGCCGGTGTGGGGAAGGAACACTCACACAAGCTGTGTGAGCCACTACCAACACTGGCCAGCACTCACCACCAGACCCTGAGCTGTTTCATGGGCCAGCAGAGAAGGGTACACGTGTTCACTCTACACCTGTGGGAACTTGGGCCCTGAGCTGTAGGTGTCTGGTCTCTGGACCTGTAACGGTGGCCACACCCCTTGGGGCGTGGCTTCAGGCCGATGGAAATGGAGAGGCTCTGGAGATGTGGCTTTCCTTTGCAAGTTCTCTCTGGCCGGTCAGCCAATCCGTAAGAAGGGCAGAGAAATGCTGCTCCTGCGATCCTTTGTACCCTTCTGTGTAATTGTTCCTCAGTGAGCACCCATTTATATCTTGGGTCTAGTGATATAAGTACATCCTCGCCTTCACTGAGCAAAGTCACCCATGGGCCAGCAGAGAAGGGTATAAAGGCAGACTCCAAGGAGGACACAGGATGTTGGAGCTGGGTCCTGCAAAGAGGAACTCAGAGCACTAGATGGCCCTGCCTCTCTGCAGGGACAACAGAACTCTGCTGTCCCTCCCATGGCTTTTGCCCTGGCTCTTCCCTCTGTCTGAGGCCACCTGTCCAGGACTTGACCTGCTGGTTTTCTCAAGCCTCTGCTCCCTGAGATCACTTCTGACTAGGCTCACTTCTCCGGGGAGTGCCTCCTGACCTCATTGCAGGCTTGTGAGTTCTCCATGGATTGTGACCAAACAGAGGCCGGGTCTTGACTGTTCACTGTGCTTTTCTGGGAAATCACAGGTTTGGGCACAAGGTGGATGCTCAGGAAATCTGAGGGCTGGGTGGGCACACCTGTGGATTTGCACTCTGTAAGAATGCAGCCAAAGATGGCCCAGAGGTTAAGAGCTCTGGCTGCTCTTCCAGAGGACCCAGGTTCAATTCCCAGCACCCACATGCCAGCTCATATCTGCCTGTAGCTCCAGTTTCAGGTGATCCAACACCCTCACAGACATACATGCAGGAAAATGAGTGCACACAAAGTAAAAATTAATTAAAAAAATAAAATAGCCTGTTTGAAGCAGCATTAGTCTTCAGGGCTTCCTTGAGTAGGAAAATAGCTTTGTTTTTTCTAACCCAGGATCCCATTGGTGCTCACTTAATGGGCACCCCTTTGATTCTGAGTGGAACCAGGTAAGAGCTTCAGCAGGTGAGGGGATACCCAGACTTACATCAGATCCAAGCCCAGCCTGATACCTGTAGCGCATCTTTAAAAAAAAAAAAAATACTAAAATAACTAGCAGACTACAAAGCTTGTCCATGTAGCATATAGAGTTCTGTAGATTTTTAGTGGATGTGCAAAGTCAGGAAGTGTTAAACACAAGAATCTCAAGAAGAAAACAGTTCCACAAGTTTTGAGACAAATTTGAAGCAAGCTTTAGTTAACTACTGGCCAGGATGATGGACTCTGGCCAGGATCATTCTGGAGTTCCCAAAATATGGTGACAAGTCACATTTTGCAGAAACTTCAAAGGCAAACACACAAGGCCACCATATTTCCCCAAAGGTCCAATCAGGGGCAAGCGTATGTCCTGGAGCATTTCCTGCCCACAAACCTCCCGAGCACATTCAGTGCGGATGGGTCAAACAAACTTACACAGGGGAAGTGAAAACTTGTGGTTTGTTATCTCCCACGAGCAACAGCCTCCAGCATTTCAGAAACTGCCCTTGGGCAAGGGGCGTGCAGGTTAGAAGCATTTTTTGTGTCATGGATCTGTTAGGCACAGTAATTAAAACCTAAAACATAACTTTGCCTCTCACAGTAGCTATTCCCATAGGCCAACTTTAGACCATCCTCACACCGTGCACCCATTTGGCTGTACCCTTCTGCCCTGCCCCTACCCTAAAGCTCTGTTATCTTTCCATGGATGTTTCTGCACAACGGGGTCAGAGGAGACCCCTTCCAAGATTTTCACAGCTGGCTTTCACAAGAGTGCTTCTCAAGGCCTGGCACATAGGGGCACTTAGCATTCCACTGTGTTGAAGAAACAGCATTTCACTGTGTAGGCTACAGTGGCTCCAAACTCATGCAGTTCTCCACTCTGCAGTGTGGGGATTATGGGTAGGAGCCACCATGTGACCTTTATCCTATGGTGGATGTCTGGGCTGCCATCATGACGCTTTACCCATTGCTAGGTCAGGGTGGAAGGGATAGAGGGCTTCCTGGCTATTTCTGTCATTTTGTTCAGGGAGCTTACAGAGGAGAATAGCTAGAGACTTTTACACGAACCCCTTGGGTTACTGAGGCTAGGAATTCCTTGGACAGGGGACTGAACACCCAGGAGGGCACACCCTCACAGTGCACAGGCTGGACAGGGTCTGAGGTCTGAGGATGACCTCCTGTAAAGGCCAAGGTGGCGTTCCTGTCTCCTTTGTGCCCAGGGGTCAGCAGGGATGGGGGTGTTAAGATAAAACTTTTTATTTTGGGAGGACCTGAGCCGTCACCTGCCCCAGGGGTGAAGTCTAAGCATTTCTCCTTTCTCTGACTGTCCCCTGAGAAGCTAGGTAACAGCCTGGCTCCTGCCCCCACTCTAACCCCTTCCTGGACTTTCCTTTCCTAGCTTTTCCTGCTGCGGAGGGGAGTTGCCAGCTCAACTCCAAGCGTGACTTACACAAAAAAAGTGATAATAGCTCATTAGCACCTTTTAGGCAAGGGGAGAGGGAACCTCCTCCATGGTGTTCCTCTTGTCCCGGGTGGTTTGCCTAAAGGTGTCTAAGGGTTACACCCTGGAAGGCACCTATGCCCTCTCCATGGGCTGAGGGGGTGAGTAGTGACCACGCACTCTATAATACCGCCTTTCCATGGCGGATAGGTGAGGGTGGGAAGACCATCCCCAAGAAAAGGGCCGGGGAACCAGAAGCCAGGAGTTCCTGGATCTGCCTGGAGAATGCGTTCGAGAGAGGCACCGCCCTCGCCTCAGGGCTCCTCCTCTCCTGTGGGCGGGATGGGGTGAGGGTGGGGAGGAGGAGGTCCCGCAAATGCTTTCTGTCCTAGAGCACCAGGTATGGGGGTGGGCGGATCATAACCCAAGATCCAGAGCCTACGTCCCCTGGCTTTGTGCAGTCCAGGTATTTAAGACCCCTCCCCATTACCACTCATTTTCACTCCCAGCTCCGTGACGTCATGCTCCTCGCGTGGCATGATGGGAGAATCCTAATGTTTTCCAACAGATGCTCCAAGAACAGCTTTCAGATTAAAGCAATTGCAAGAGCAAAGATTCTCCTTTTTCCCTTTTTTTCCGGGGGGGTGGGGGTGGGTGGGGGGAGGGAGCACCCCCAGACATTCCTTGAATTCTCCCCCAGCCCCAAGCGCGCTATAAACACTGACAAGAAAAAGTTTTTATTTCCTGGTTCAACTTTTTACCCCCCCTGGAATATAAACTGAAGAATGGGAATAAATACGAATAAATAACAAAGCGAGGCCGCGCACGCCGGGATGCGCCTGGCAGCAGCCTGCCCGGCTTTTGTCTCCGCACCTTGAAGCCAGCCCAGGCGTCCTCCTCCGTTTCTTCCCTCTCCTGGTCCCTTTTGCTTTTCCTTTAAAAAAAGACACCCTCTCCAGCCCCCTCGCCGGTGACCTTGGCTGCCTAGGATGCTCTGATTCCGTGTCTCCCTCCAACTTGCCCCCGCGCTGCCTTGCCCATGGCCGCATCCGAGGAAGGCAGCAGCTGCCTTGTGTCGCGGGGCCGCTCGCAGAGTGACCCCAGCTTCCTCAGCGACTCTTCAGCCACCTCCACGGACGCCGCCGGGGAGAACCCAGGTACCGGGCCAGGCGGGGGCGACCCGGCGGGGTGGGGGAGACAGGAGGCAGGTGGCATGGGGACCACTTCCCTACGGGCCAGAGCCCCCCTCCTTCACGGGGGGAGGGAGGATGGCCCAATTCAGGCGCCACCAGGGCCCTTGGTTCCTGTCCTCATCACTGGGGGCGGGGGGGGGCGCCTTGAAGCCCTTTGTCCAGAGAGGAGCCGCTTTGCTGGGTATAGTTGGATGCTCTGCAGTATGCCCTGTTCGCCGCCAGCCCCTGGACATCACATCCCAAAAGGAGCTTGCTGCTCTGGGTCTGGGGTGCAGCTGACTGACCAGGGGAAGGGTCTATGGACCACCTCCGCCCAGGGTTGGTGCCTGCTCTGTCCTCCATCCAGGCCCTCCTGTGTTCCTGTGTTCCGCCCCAAGGTTCAGGGTAACACTGCGCTGCTGGGGCCTCAGTGCCCAGGGCTGTCACTGGGCACCAGGACTCCAGCAAGGCCTGGCGCACCTGGGCGCGCCCTCCTCCCTGGACAGGTGGCCTGGACAGAGCTGCGGTGGGGAGATGAAGGACGTACACCCGACAGAGCTGGGTTTCTTTCCACTCTGTGGGGCTTGTCCACTCCTCCACACCCAAGGCAATGCGAATTGTTTAGGCGATAAACAGGTCACAGAGGCATCTAGGCGGCTTGATTGATGACTTTCCTGGGACCGGGGAAAGGCCTAATGAAGCAGGAGGGGGTGGGCTGTGTGCTCCCGGTCACCATGGAGACGCAGGAAGCAAAGTGATCATTAAAACCTTTCTCCACCAGAAGGCAATTTTCACTTCTCAGGGAGAAGTCAGAGCTTCTGAAATGGATCTTTCAAAAAAAAAAAAAAAAAAAAAAAAAGCAAGTGTGTGTGGTGTCAACTGCAGGGGTTCACCCTGTCTCTATGAAGCAGAGTTCCTCGTGGATGCTATTTGATAACGTCTTGCCTTCCTTTATAGACTTCTCTCTAAATGTGAGAACCCTTGAATGGGGACTTAATGGTGTTAAATGATTGTTAAATGATGGCATTAGTGTTGAGATCATCCCAGGGGGCCAAGGAAGGCTGGCTTTGTGGGGTTGGGATTCCATAAGACCTATATGAACTGCCCAGAAAAGCTCCCCCTTTAAAAAGTAGCGCTGTGGATACCTGGCCCTGATACAGAAATTTCAAACCCATAAACCCACCCAGGACTTGTAAGAAGATGTCTTTGTTAGGACTTTGACAATGTTAGTAGTCCCTGAGTCTGTCACATCTAGGATGGCAAGTTAGTTTCCATGGCAGCAAGCAGACCCGTAAAATAACAATGAAACCTTCCCTTAGTCATCTGAGAGGAAGCACCCATAAGGGAGGGAGGGCTCTCCCACCCCTCTGACATAGGAACACTTCCTACTGTGGAGATGAGTGGTCCCTCATCAGATAATCCTTCCAGCTCCTTTGTCTCCCTGGCAGTAAAAAGAGGCAAACTTGAAATGGAAATTATGGGGGGGAACTTAGCGTTGTGGCTGTCTGTGAGTGGAGGGTTTGCCAGGTGGCTGCTGCCCGTCCAAGAGGGAGGGAGCAGGAGGAGGGCTCTGTTGCCCCTGATGAAATTAAGCCACAGAAGGAGTTGTTGTCTGGTTCAAGTGGTCAAAGAGGAACCAGGTGAGCTGTTACAGCGAGGAAAACGTCTAAAATATCTATAAATTCCACGAATGGTGGGCGGGCCAGGTAATTGAGCATCCCTGGGTTGTGTTCAGTGCAGGAATCCTGGCAGAAAAGAGTCAGAATCTTCAATTTGGAAGAAACCCACAAGGCCGGAACGGGAAGGGTGTGGGGTGTGGAGGTGCTTGCATGCTCCTGTTGGTGGGAGACTTGCTACACTTTGGTATACTGCCTGATTGTCCGGGATTGCCTTTTAGGACTCTTGAAGTGTCTCGATAGGTCTGCTCCCATCCACTCTTCTATGACCCTCCACGGCACACATGTCTGGGGCTTCTGGAGGCTCTGCTGTCCCAGTCGGTTCTTGCCACAGGGGTTCATCTTGCCACACCTTTCATGGAGGGGCTCTTCCCTCTGTGTACTTGCTGCTGTAACCGGGGACCCCTGGTGCTGACCCCAGCCACTAAGCTGCTCAGTGGCCAGGTTCAATCCACGGAAGAACTGGCTTCCTCCATCCAAATTCTGCCTTACAGAACAGTCCTGGGTTGCGTTTACCCCACCCTACCCCAGGCATTTCCGTCAAAACTTAAAACACATTCTTGGAAAAGTAGACCAAAGGGTGCTGTGGTACCTCTCACTTCATCAGTGACGTCCTGTAGTGTACCCTGGCCCTGGTCTTCCCTCGTCCATCCCCTTACAGGTCCGCATGAGTGGACATCAGCCACCAGGCTGGGCCGTGTGGGGAAGCCCTCGGTGTAGGGATCTCCCACCCGTCATCCTATAAAAGAACTTCAGTCACCAAGCCTGGTCTCAGGGGCCTTTAGCAGACAGTCCCAGTATAGAGAAGACAGCCCTGTACAGCAGCCTCCCCTGTGAGCGGCCACGCAGCAATAGCCTAAGGAATGTGTTTTCCAGTTTAGCTGTGAGGAACTGTGCCGTGCCCAGGGTTTACCCATCATGAGCAACAGTGCATGAGGGCGTGCACCAGCTCGTGCAATGTCTGGGCCACGCTTGTTACCCTAGTGATGTTGCCCCTCCTGGTCGCTATACTCACTCCACCCCTTACAGGAGCTGCTTGCACAGACTGTGACAGTACCCACTGCCTAAGCCCTGGCCATGAATGCATTTTCCTTAGCACGAAGGGTGACATATGGGGTCTTGTGATAACTTGTGGCTCCTCGATTGCACTGAGCACATTTTCGTGGCTTCCCTGTGTATCAGGTTTCTTAGCATCTCTGCCTATGGCACGGGCTGGACCGCAGAGCTGAAATTATCTTTCCTAATCTGGTCCTCCCCGTGAGCCACCGGCTCAGCCCCAGCCATGGAGCCCCGTCTGCTCCTTATAGGTTTCTCTCTGTACAGTGTACTCAGCACCCACAGTGGAGTTAGGGTTTCTTCCAGAGTGAAGCCTGCAGCAAGAGGGAGTGTTCCCACGAGCATCCCTCCTCCCAAGGCTCGGGCTCCCTGGGGACCTGCTCCTTCTCTTGAGTTCCCGTGTTGTCAGGCGCCTGGCCACCTCCTACCCCATCCTGACTTGGCCTTTGCCCTCTCTGGCCTTCTCTGCAGTCTTTCCTCCGCCTGCTTTTTGGGTTTTTTGTGCTGTTCTCCATCTCACCTCCCTCCCTCCCCAGCTCATCTCCTCGGGCTCCAGATGCCAGGGCCACAGACCAGCCATCAGATGCTGGTAGTGCTTTTTGAAGTGTTTCCATGACGTGGCCATGGACGGACCTTTGGAGGGACCACTGTGCAACCAGGCAGGACTCTGCCCCAGGCTTCAACTCAGCGTCTTGTCGTCGGTGGTCAGGGTCTCTGTGTGACAGGCTCATCTGTGCTTTGTGACCCTGGCCCTTATCCTTCATCACCTGATATGGTTTGGGATGGGCTGTGTGGGAATGAGCTAGGAGGAGATTGCAGCCAGCTGCCTTTCTGCAGGGCCAGGCCACCTTTGCCTGTGGGGCAGGGATGAAAGAATACTTTAGAGGCCTCTCCAGAGCTGCACGGTGCTGTGTAGACTTGGCGGGTAGACTCTGGGCTAGTGTTCCCTCCCTCCTGCATGGCCCACTCCTCCTGCAGCTCAGCAGACGCCCCAGCTGGTTGAAGCACTTTTAACGTGTGATGATGGGTCTTGAACCTTCTTCTCCCACTGCCCTGGCCTCCTGGACCCTCCCACTTATTCTGTGTCCTCTTCCTACCGTGGGCTGAGCCCCCCTTCCCAACCCCGAGACAGCCTCACCCCTTGACTCCTTTTTTCTCTCTCCCCTCTGATTTACCCCACGGAGGGACAAGTCTTCTGCAGCCTTGCTGATGGGTTCTGTGTGCTCCTTCACCCCCAGCCCTCAGTGGGGTCCTCCGTCGGGGTAGCGAGGGCTGTAGCATATCACCGCCTGACCGGATCTTGTCACTTTCCCTTTCTATTTGCAATCCTGGAGAGTTCTCTTCCTCTGGAGTCCTGAGTTCTGGAACTCTCCCTCTGGCCCCTTGCAGAGTGTCTATGTGTTTTAATTAGCAGTGGAACTACGCAGTAATTACCTTGTCAGTTTCTTAAGGGTTATTAAAAATAATAAAACAACTACATGCTTTACAAAAACAGAGTTTAAAAACTAACAGTGTTTTCTGTTGATTATGGAAGTGTGGTGGGCGTCCACGTGGAATATGTTTGGACACTTCTGAAATTCCTGGCCCTTTTTTCCCACACAGAAGCCAGTGACCACAGGCTGTGCTACAGGTACTGGCCATGCTGGTTAATACTGGTGTACTGGATGCCAACATGTCAGAATATTGCTCCCTCTCTGTCCGATTTCTTCTTGGCCACACAGCCCCATCTTCCTCTACACTTCACTATTTGATTGCTGTCCGTTTGACGGACATATTGTGATCTAACATCACTGTAGCCACCAGCTACAGGTGGCATCTTAATTCCAAACGAAACATAGCAAGTTTAAACGACGATGGCAAATCCCTACTTGCATCAGTCACTTTTCAAGCGCTTGGTGGCCATGTGGCCCTGTGGTCTACATTATGGACACTGCGTATCTAGAACATTCTGGAAGATTGCACAGAGCCTCGCTAAATAGCAATGGTCTGGCCTGGAAGCTCCCGGAAGGAAGGGCCTATGTGCTTTCTCTTTAGGGTTCCCAGGGTTGATTGGCAGATATGCTGATATGTTTCAGTGGGTTTTGTGTTCCCTGCTGGAGGAGTCTCACCTCTCTTGGTCTGGTTATCATCTTTAAGGGGGAAGTCCTAAGCACAAATAATTATTTCCACAGGATTGATTTATTTCAATTCAAGTAGTTTTCTAATGTTCACCATGTAACACACTTGGCCTTTGTGGGTCTTTTTAGCAAAAGA